ACTAGTTTCATCATCAAAGTTTATAATCAACTGACTTTAATGTTTCAGTTAAAACTACTAGTTTCATCATCAAAGTTTATAATCAACTGACTTTAATGTTTCAGTTAAAAAACTAATAGTTTCATCATCAAAGTTTTATAATCAACTGACTTTAATGTTTCAGTTAAAAACTATAGTTTCATCATCAAAGTTTTATAATCAACTGACTTTAATGTTTCAGTTAAAACTACTAGTTTCATCATCAAAGTTTTATAATCAACTGGCTTTAAAATTCTTACTGCCAATGGATAACAACTTAGTTATTTAACAAATATTTCAGTTTTATAAACTATTGCGTTCTCCTTGAATCCTTTAGTTGCTGAATTTTCACAATGTTATTGAAATTTGGCTTGTATTGGATAAGTTTCTACTAACATTTAACTTGTTGTATGTGTCTAAAAGAAAAATCTGAATGAAGTTTGTGTCTGATATACCACTTCAAATTCTTCTATATTTCAAAGTAATTTTATATGCACGATCTAACTTAATTATATTTATATTCCGTCACTATGTTTTAGGTCTCTACCATATCAAATAGTAGACCCCACTCTGCACCCCTGACCCCAGCTAGCTTCGATACCACCTCATTAGATTTTCTTCAACATTCAAATCTGGTGCAGGCTGTAAACAGCTCCTCTGAGTTATACAGTATGGTCAACAAAATTCCACCTGTTCATCGCTCTTTAATTTCAGGAAACGAGAAATGCGGTGACCAAGATACTGATAGCTTGTATAATGACCCGGAAGTTGTACGTTTCCAACAACATCCAGTTTCTACAAAAGGACTTAGGCAGCTACCTTTACCTGCATTTAGTTTTTGCAAACCCACATCTTCAAAGCGGTTGCACCAAGACACCACTGACTCGGAGAGCTTCTTGACATTACAAGCTGATGGTTTGTTTTATCATAAATTTACTTTTTGTCAGTCTGTTGTTATTTGCATATTTTGTTTTTAACGAAAGATATTGTTGATTTGGCACTAAAATTTTAATTTCCAAGTTACAAGAAGAAACGTAATATGTTGGGCACGTTGTGCTGTATATTTTCAAGATTGTTATTCTGGATCTTGTTTATAATCATCAAAACTTCTAAGAATGTGTAACCCTTTCAATATTTGATTGTCACATCAAAGAGAAATTAGAAACCAGGCTAAATGCTGTATTGTTTTTATACTATTTAAAATAGAGAGAGAGGGGGTTTGTGTTTGGTTAAATTTCTTGAACTGCATCTACTGATGAGAACCGTCTTTTACTATATATTATGATAACCCATAAATGTTTCACAACATTAAACCTGACAGTCCGTACAAGAACACCACATAGTAGACTTTCAGATGTCTTGGAAGGTTTAAAATCTGTTTACAAATGTAACAACAGTGTAAAATGTTTCCTATTATTATTTTATCTGAAGGAATTTAAAAGAGAACCTAAAAACAGAAAATGATACACTTTTTTTGTAAATTTCATGTTTCTGTTTTATAATTAAATCGACAATCACATTTTTTATTTTATAATTCTGGTTTGGGTGTACATACACAGAGACAACAGAACTTAGAGTAAACATAAAAGTCATTTTTATTTGATTTGTAAGTGATCTGACCATTTATAATAATTTTTCTTCTTTATAACACACATTTGTTTTCTTCTTTATAACACACGTTTGTTTTCTTCTTTGTAACACACGTTTGTTTTCTTCTTTATAACACACATTTGTTTTCTTCTTTATAACACACATTTTTCTTCTTTATAACACACGTTTAAAACAAACGTGTGTTATAAAGAAGAAAACAAACGTGTGTTACAAAGAAGAAAACAAACGTGTGTTACAAAGAAGAAAACTTGTTTTCTTCTTTATAACACACTTGTTTTCTTCTTTATAACACACATTTTTCTTCTTTATGACACACATTTTTCTTCTTTATGACACACGTTTGTTTTCTTCTTTATAACACACGTTTGTTTTCTTCTTTATGACACGTTTGTTTTCTTCTTTATGACACACTTGTTTTCTTTATAACACACATTTGTTTTCTTCTTTATAACACACATTTTTCTTCTTTATAACACACGTTTGTTTTCTTCTTTATAACACACATTTGTTTTCTTCTTTATAACACACATTCATTTTCTTCTTGAAGTAGAACTATTGAATTATCCTGAAACTAATGATCTGCTGAACAAAGGTTAATGTTTTTGTCATCCTTATAATCTTGATAGGAATCTATTTTCATAAAAACTTTAAAAAACACACTTCCATTTTCTTATTTAATGTGATATGATACTGTAATTGTATATAGATGTATATATAATGTTTTGTTTAAAATGTAATAATTGAAGATCACAGGTTAAGCTATGATATAGTCCACTATTACATCAACAGCATATTAATGCTACACAGTAGTCTCACGTTTTTATAAGACTTGCTGTGTATTATATATTAACATTATTGAAATCACGATCAACTTCCTTGAGGTAACTGCTGTAGCACAGGTGAGTGTAATGTTAAAGAATCTCACGTGGGTATTATATTTTAACATTACATCACTTACATTTTGAGTTTTTATTCTTGTGTATTTTGTAGAGAAAAAAATTTCAGAAATTGGATGTTCTAAGTATTATTAATACCTCCAGCTTTACCTTTACCATTAGTTGCATGTTCTAAGTATTATTAATACCTCCAGCTTTATCTTTACCATTACTTGGATGTTGTAAGTATTATTAATACCTCCAGCTTTACCTTTACCATTAGTTGGATGTTCTAAGTATTATTAATACCTCCAGCTTTACCATTAGTTGGGTGTTCTAAGTATTATTAATACCTCCAGCTTTACCTTTACCATTAGTTGGATGTTCTAAGTATTATTAATACCTCCAGCTTTACCATTAGTTGG